TCAAAGACGATTATCTTCTGCTCTGACGAATCGAGTTCATTCACTGGAACAAGTTCTTCTGGTTGTTTTATCAAAAATATATCATCACCAATGCCAAGTTCATCACGAAGTTTATCATTATACTCACTTAGTAACTCGTATTTGTCTTGTTGGGGGTTGATGGTGTAAATATACACCTTATCATAGTTAAAGTTATTATTGAGTAAAAGATTTAATAACAAATTTGTTTTACCAGATCCAGTTCGCCCAACAATAAGATAATGACAGTCTGGAAGTTCATTGTTATGTTTATGCTTCACCAATCGCTCGGTGTCAAAGTTCATTATCTTCGCCATCGTATAATTTTATGTTATATTAATCCAACAATTTTGTGTAGAACGGTACGTATAATGAGCTACTATACAAAATTTGGAACATTAGCAGTAGATTTATTAACAGAAGGTTACCAGGGTGACTTATCCAAGTATGCGACTCTTGATAAGCTCAAAAATGAAATCAACAATTTGTTAAACGTTGCAAGTGTAGATCCAAATGAAGTTGTAGTTTTCCAGGACAAACAAGGACGATTAAAGACGAGTAATGTACAACTATCAGATGTACTAGTACGAAATCCTACTGCAGTTGCTAATAATATTGTTACTTTTAACAATCAAGGTAAGATAGAAGATTCGGGTAGGTCAGTTAACGATTATGTTAGAAAAGCAGGTGATTTATTTACGGGAAACATTGTTATGAACCAGAACAAGATCACATACCTTGGAAACCCAACTGAGGATAATGACGCTGCTACTAAGAAATATGTTGATGATCAGGAATCAAAGTACGTGTCGGCGCATGGCGGTATAATGCGTGCATTTCTCAACATGAACAATAATGGCATCAATAATCTTAGAACACCAGAGTTTGATTTTGATGCTGTAACAAAGAAATATGTTGATGATATCAACAATGAAATCACCAAGTTCATAACTGATTTTACTAATCACATCACCACGTTTTTAAATTTTCGCAGAAACATAAACAAAACCAATAACGAATTTTTTGGAAGTCCGCCATCTGTTGATATTACACTCGATAATATTAACACAAAACTCAACGATATTATTAGTGGAATTCCTAGTATTGTTGAGAAAACAAGTATGATTAAAATTCCTCACAAGCAGATTAAAAATATTGTCTATACTGTTGCTTCTGGAATGTCTACTTGGTCGCCGCAAAATAACACTCTCAAACATACTGCAGAGGTCACTGGTGTGTATAGATTGTCCGTGTTTAGCAGTGCAAAGTTTAATATATTTACATTATTTCCATGGCGTCACTTGACTGATAATTTCTCTGGAACCGTGTCTATTGTGTTAAACAAAGATGTTGAAGAAACTTTTATGCTAATAGCAGATGACAAAAAATTAACTGCTGCGTCATATTGGTATTGTCTGGAATTTGTGGCTGAAACACCTCAACTAGTTACTTAATCAAGCCTGAGATTATGTGAACAAATATTATAATGAAAAAAAGTATAGTTGATTTCAATCATATTTCAAAAGATATTCCAGAACAGGATGTTGACGCACTAATACAATACTACAAATATTATCACAAAAAACTTTGGTGCGTAAAAAAATGTTACAAATATTATTATAACAAAATACTTCGAGTAATATCATATCTACCCTTGTTAATGACTAGTTCTGGCATAACTTCAAGTGGTATATCATTAAACCCGTTTTTGTTAATCATATCCGGTGTTGGTGTTTCTCTTACAGCAGCTTGTAAAAAAGTTGAACCTAAAATTTTGATAAAAAAGCACGGCTGCTTAACATCAATTATAACTTACAAAAAACTACTTGATCAAATAAGATCTTACCTACGAGGAGTAAAATATAGTATGGACGATTTAATACGTGAATTTCGTATTATTGACAACATGTTAACAGATATTCTACCCATGAGGATCAGCAAATATGAGAAAGATTATCAAAAGAAGTATGATATAACATAAAATCAATTAGATATATAAAAATTTTTTATATTATATAATGACCAAATTTTCAAGGGGGGAACTCCTTAAAAACCCCGGAATTAAAATTTAAAACATCTGGAAAAAAAAATTTTTGAAATTTTTTTAATTCCCCCAGGGGAATTTCCGGTAATGTTTGGGCGTAATAGTTTCCCTGATAAATTTATAAAAGGGGATTGTTAAAAAGAAAATTTTTTAAAAGGGGGAAAAGGGTTTTATTTTGTGGGTTCAGAAAAAATTTTAATATTTTTTGGGAAAAATTTTTTTATAAAAGGGGTTTTTTTGTTTGGGGGGGAAAATTTTGTTTTTTTGGGGATTTTTTAAGGTTTGGTAAAAAAATTGGAAAAAATTTTATTTGGGGGGGTTTTAAAATTGGGTTTTGGGGGTTTTAGTTTGGGGGAAGTAGGGGGGGATTTTTTAAAATTTTTTTGGGGGAATGTTAAAGGGGGGTTTTAGGGTTTTTTGAAATTTTTTTGGGGTGATTTTTAAAAATGGATGGGTTTTAATGGGGTTTTATGGGGGGGGGTGGGTTAAAAATTTGGTTTTGAAAGATGGGGGTTTTAAGGAATTTGGGGTTTTAAGTAATTAATTTAAAGGGTTTTTTACAGTTTGGGGAGGTTTATTAAAGGGGTTTAAAATTTTATGGGGTTTTTGGGTAAAAGTTATTTTTTTTTGAGAGGTTGGGGGTTTTTCATCAAGGGTTTTCTGTAAACTTTTACACGTTTGCCGTTTTTCTTTTAACTTTTCGTTGATGCTATTTATTTTTTTTGTTAAATTTTGACCTGCTTGAGTACCTGCTAACCCTCCTGGAAATTTTCCATCTCCGGATGCGTCAGTCCATATTTTATACAGCCGGGTAAGTCCGATATTAAATTGAGCCGCGATAATGACATATTTTAATATCATCAGTTGAAACATTAATCATTGGTGATGAGATATAATATCACTTACTTGTGAACTGACCTGCACCGTTCTGGTACAATTATCAGCCTTTTCATCTACTGAGAGAGGTAATTACCTTACACAATTATCAGCCTTTTCATCTACTGAGAGAGGTAATTACCTTATACAATTATCAGCCTTTTCATCCACTGAGAGAGGTAATTACCTTATACAATTATATCTGCGCTAGAATCAGCCTTTAGTTTTTGTGTAGGTGAAAAAACTTTGGTGTTTTAAGGTCTTAAGAGAAGTAATTTGTATTTGTTTTGAGGATGGGGATAACTTTTGCGCCAGAATCAGCCTTTTCATCTACTACTGTCACACATCTCATTTCACCTAAAATATTAACCAATTCTCAACTCACTTAATATATAGCCCAAGGCACAACCGATCTAAAGAGGGCAAAAGATAAACCCTACCTTCTGGATAATTATGTGCCACTCAAGGAAACCGTTACAAGAGTGAAAACGAAACATTAGAAAGCTAAGTGAACAATGCAGTGAATTATTTTCTGGAACTTCTTCAGTTTCGATCTTTAAAACAAGTAATATTGCATAATAATTTTAAAATGTTATTACATGACTATATTCCTTGTAGTGATTCTCAAGAATATGTTTGTGTTTTGTGTCACTTGAATGGATTCAATTTTACTATTTTACTAGTCTGAGTCATATTTTGTGATGTTGTTGTTGTTGTTGTTGTTGGGCTTAACGCCATTTTTCAGCACTCGATAGGCTATTCATGGCGGCCAGTATTAATGGTGGAGGAAGAAACCGGGAAATCACCGGAAAGAACCACCGACCCACGAGAAGTTACTGGCAAGCTTTCTCACATATCCACATTCGCCGAATCCTAGACTCGAACACACGCAGACAGAGGTGAGATTGCAGTGATCCGTAACGGACAGCGCTTTAGACCACTCGGGCACTCGGGACCCCACCATATTTTGTGATGCAATATCTTCTTTAATTATTTCAAAATCGAACAAAAATATATTTTACTCTCTCTCTCTCTCTCTCTCTCTCTCTCTCTCTCTCTCTCTCTCTCTCTCTCTCTCTCTCTCTCTCTCTCTCTCTCTCTCTCTCTCTCTCTCTCTCTCTCTCTCTCTCTAATACCGCTGTTTTGTTTGTTTTTATTTTCTTGCGTTGAATTATCTTCCCGTTTTCGTCTCCTGCAAGTGCTTTAAGTGTTGGCGTTCGATAACTTGAATCTATACATGCAATCAAAGGAAGGTAGTTAACGCGTTCCTTATAAATTATACGTCGAATAAATGTAAAATGTCTTTACATTATAAATGTTTCAAGTGCTTAATATCTAGAAGAAGATAAAACGAAGTTGTATTCATTGACTAAATCACTTTTCGTGCCTCCTGATTAGACAGGATAAACAATTGAAATTGATAACACTATCAAAATTTGTTGCTCAACAAAATTAAAATGAACGTAGCAGCAGTATTAAAATGATTTGATCCAACTGGAGCTTATGAACAAAGACATCACACGCGATGCTGTCATATAAGATTTAGAGAGAAAAACTTTTGAGTTAAAGGAGGTCAAAGAAAATACATTACATTAATGTGAGAACACACTTATGCGATTCTGACGTTAAACAGCTTCGATGATGCGTTTATTTTATACGTTTCTACGCACATAGAAATAAGATAAATATTATAAAACCTAGACATCCAAACTTTGATTTTTAACAACCTTCTGAAGATCCATTTAATTACAAAAAAAACCCCTGCACTTCTGATGGGGATTGTGTGTTTGATGATGATATGATTTTGTAGATAAGCATGCAGAGTGCCCGTGTGCAAAGTTTGCTTATCTCCAAGAAAATCCTGTCCAGATCCAATGCGTTTTGATAAAAAGTAGTCACGTATTCCCTTCGAAGCCAATGGATATTGAGCTGTAAAAGTAAAGTTTTCCCCGGTCGTAAGCCATGGATTTTGAGCAATAAATAATCAAGTATTCCCCCATCGACACCCATGGTTTTCAGATTTTAGTAATTAAGATTTCTTCGTCCTGTCAACACCGCTCCGGTAGCCTGGTGGTTAAAGCGTCTGCCTCAAATGCGGGAGGTCGTGGGTTCGATCCTCGGTCAAGTCATACCAAAGGTACTAACAGCTGCCTTACTTGACTCTCAGCATTAAGAGGTTAGTGTTAGGACTGATTGGCCTGGTGTCAGGATAATGTGACTGGGTGGGACATCATGCTACATGTCTGTGGCATGATGCACGAGTGCTAGACATCACTATAAACAGCCACATTGCAGACATAGTAGCGATATGACTGAAAAATTGTGAAAGCTTCGTTAAAAAACAAAATCACATCACATCACATCGTCCCCTCAATGTGTAACTACTACTAGCAAGAACATATCTTTGCATCATCTCTCTCTCTCTCTCTCTCTCTCTCTCTCTCTCTCTCTCTCTCTCTCTCTCTCTCTTTGATTTGGATTTTTTAAAAACTTTTTCAGTCATATCGCTACGAGCTGACGAGTCATAACACTAAGCTATTAATGCAGAGAGCATAGCTAGGAAGCCGTCATTACAATTATTATAAGTCTTTATTATGATTCGGTTCGAGTTCGAACCCGCGACCTCTCGCATCCGAGGCGAGCGCTCTGAACTACTAGGCCACCAGCGCGGTGGTATGGAGATAAATTGAAATGCAAATTAAACCATGGTAGACAACTAAGATAAAATCCTTGTTAAATATAATACTGTATTACACGGAAGCGATCATCGTTCCACAACCACATCTTTTTGACATGCAGCAATAATAATTGTAAGAGACTCAGAAGAGATATAAGATTTGGCTCAGACTGCGAAATGGAAAACACCTGTTTAGAGAACGCTATTTTGGGATCAATTACCTCACGGCAGATAATAAATGCTGACATGAATTGCTTTTTAAATTCTCGTACACCTATGCTGCAAGATGTATATTTGATCAAGTAAATACACAAATTGATGAAATGAAATTTATACATTTTAGGAATGTACACATGTGTTTAAAGAGCCTGACGAGTTGAAACTCTGTAGGCCTATAATTGTAGAAATAAATCTGATGTAAGCCGAACACAATAACAGAATTAATTACCTCGATGTTATCTTAATAGGTGACAGTGACAGAGTCTGCGAATAAAATGGGCAACCAGATAAGGCTAGTGTCGATATCAAATAACAATTACATTCGTTATATTTGAATAATGTTATAATCTTGAGGATGTGATCGAGAAAGCAACAAACCTACCAAACGTGCTTTGGGTAGACATTTTGTGATATATAACATACTTGTGTCACTACCCAGGTTTGATTCGTGGGGGTGGTTGCAAATCGGTAAGGTACCATGCAAATTCTTTATCTCCTGTCATGTTCTCTGTTATCAGGACAATATAATTATTTGCAAGACACTTAATTATGTTGCTCAATATTTTTAAAATTTATTCATGTACCTGTCTACATAGCATTATACATGTGAGTACGCTCTAGAATATAATTTTAAATACTAGCATTCTAAAACTCGTATCATATTTATTTGCTGTCTCTAAGCTCGTAATAAAACGAAAAACAAACTTTATATTACGCTATCCATTTCTCCTAAATTCAATAAATCTAGAAAAATGGGTTTTGGTGTACAATTCAGTGTAAACCTTTGTGTAAATTCAGTGTACTCCTTGGTGTAAAATTCAGTGTGCGCTGCTCATTCTACCTGATGAATTGATTTTTTTTTATAAATTGGAGCGTTAAGTCGGTAGCTGTACATTACAATGCTAGAGCCTAGCAAAAGCCACAAAAATGTGTATTTATTCATTGATTTTTACATCTCGACGATTCAGGGTGTTTTGCGAGGGCATGGATAAGGTACACGAGCGGCATCACTTCAGCTAGTAAATCAGAAAGGACGAGCTACGTCGCTTACGTTAGTAGAGCGATATGGCACACAACAATGCTTTCGATGATAAAGGATCGGCAAGAGTATTTTTATTGAGGTATTATGGGAATAAATTAGAATTAACATTAACCTATTGATTAAAGTGCTAGGACTATTATAAGGATGTAATAGAAGTCCTTTGTTAAGATAGTCCATTAAGCTTAACTTTGAGATAAATATCAATATTGTACGAAGTGGATAACCTCATTTTTTGCGAACTACAGTTTAGCTTGGGAGTGGTATTACTGAGGCATTGGTGTTTATTGGGGAAAAATGTGTTTATGGGATCAATAGTATTTATAAGAACAAGGAAGAATGTAATGTTAAACTGGTGAATGGAGAAAGAGTCTACAGATCATACTGACAAGTGAAAATGTGATAGGAAAATTGGAGAAGCTTAAAACGGATTCACAGTTTACATATCCGTACGATAAATGTATTCTTAGATCTTTATAATTTATTTCATTGCACTCAAAATATTCAATCCAGTACACACATTCACTCATGTGGGAAGTAGTAAAAAGGGGTTTTATACTTTAGTTGCTAACAACAAAGACATACAAGCACAAAGCATAAAAAACTGTTTCGTAAAATGATTTGTATCCGGGTGGATCTGAAACGGACCTTAAATATAATGTTAAAATGGCGAGGGAAGAAAGGGTAGAGTCAGTTTATAGGGAGATGGGAAATAGTAATGTTATAATTTTTTATCTACAATTCAAACATACTATGTATACAATCAATCACCTGCTCTTTAGTTACTATTTAAACACACTACATATCGGATCCAGTACGCACTCTTTCAGTACTCTCCAACACCCACATTTTGACTACTACCCGACACATTAATTATACTCTCTATCACCCAATATACAGTATCCAAAACGCGTTGTATAGTGCCAGTAATATCACACCTCATTTTTAATAAAAATGGTATCTTGGAAAAGAAGAAGGATGAAATCACACAAGCACACCATCTAACACACCACCTAGACTATCCAACACTTCATACTGCAAGAAGTATGCTCGTACAATGAAAAACAGAAACGTGTGAAAAGCAACATTAGTAAAATTCAACGAATAATTTATTTTCCTGTGAAAGCAAAGTGAAATAACAAAGAACTTACCGTATTACGAATTAAATCATAATAATCCTAAAATTACAGACAGAAGTCCTAAAAATGTAAAGTTTTGAATAAACTTTAATGGACATCTAAAGTAAGTCCATCGCTGAAATTTTGGTGTGTCCATAATGACTTTTATAATGCTGACGTGCCAACAGTCTTTTATTAAAACGCAGTATAATAATTCCAGGATTGAATTCACTATAATTCCAAGTCAAGGTCTCTCTCCAGGAATCTTATAAGAACACATTTATATTTACAAATCACTTCAATTGAATATTTTGAAGAGATACATTCCAACCCAAACGATAGTCTAGTCTTAAAAGTAATACAAATTGATTCTGCAAGATCTTAAGCTCTTAACCACGAATTAATAAATTTCCATTAACAAGATTTTAGTCTTCCTCATAATAAAAATAGCATTTTCTATAAATAACAAAAAAATACCTAATGAAAAAAAAACTTTTAGAAAGTTCTTATTGTTATTTGTTGGAATTGGTAATGTATTTACCCTGGAAAATACTAGTACTCAGAATTCTTGGACAAAGGCATTTATTGAAATTTATTCAGAAATTCTAAACTGTAACATTATTGTTGTGATTAAATAAAGAACTATTGATAAGACAACACTGTGAAGGTTATAACATACGTCATCGCATCCATCTTGGAATTTCATCGGCATTCACACTGTGTTGCATTTTGGACTTTTCATTGATAGGACTTGTATCTTTTAAATCTTGGATTAAGTTTGAATTTGATTCACAATCCGTAGGTCCACTTTCTTTTTTTACCTTGTTTTTCTAGGGAAATAAATTATTTGCTTACATTTTAAAAAGCATGTTGTCATTACTTTTGTACGAGCCTAGACTTGTAACACAACTGACGTTTAACTTGCAAGATACTGTCAAGTAAGTCGAAGATCCACGGTAGTCTCCGTACCCTCTCCTATGGTCCAATGGAGGTGTTCAATAGGTCAAATTGAACAATACCGTATTGCAATGATGGTGACATAATCTTTCGCGAGAATTTTTTGATGCGAAAAGAATTGTATTTCTTATTGTTCTGTTTTAATACAATATATTTAGTCAGTTTACACTTATATTCGGCCTGGTTAATCTAGTTGCGAAAAACACCTACGCAAGACAAAACATAATATTGGTTGGCCGTCCTACTCTTATCAAATGATTAAAAATACACCAGGACGTTGAAGATAAGCATTTAGTAACCCAATTACAAAATACGGCACTGTGTCTGTGAAGCCTGCAACGAAGATGAATGTGGCTGTCAGCAATGCAGGAACTACTCGTTCAAATTAAATTGTATAGTTCCAAAGCTCTGTTTCAAAGTTACGATTACTACGAGTTTTTGGCTAGTTCTTTTCTAACAGTATGAATGATTTTCTAATCGAATGTTACATCACTGCAATAAAGTTTAACTCGACAGGGATTTGCTTATAGCTCGCGTTACACAAAATTACACCTCATGCTGATGTAATGCTGATAAAAATTTCTGTAAACTATATATTTACCTTTTCATGTCTTTAAAGAACCTGTGATAAGCAAAATTCTCATTTAAGCAAACTGCGTTTGGAGGTTGCTAAGCCACGGCAATGTTGCTTAGTTACTGTTGATCGTACATTAGCATCGTATGCGCATTGCCATGAAGTACGTAAACAAATCATACAAACGGTTTCATTTTATATGATGTCTTAAAGATCGAGATAAAAAGTACATCCGGTTGCATTATCGACTTTTGCCCTTGTGTACATTTAAATAGTAGTTGTATGTCAATAGTGCGTCGATCCTATACACGATTAACTGAAAACGATGCAGAATTGTTGCTTGTAAAGTAAAGTGACTTTTGTAATTTGTTATTATTATTGACTGTAGACTTTCCAACCTTCATAATTCACTTAAATCACCTTATTCCTACCAATGTTGATGAAATCAAATTGGTTAGCTATCGTGGTATGTCACGCATTTTATTTCAATTGTCTCACCACTATAACAACTTACGAGCGTGCGCGTGCGTGTGTGTGTGTGTGTGTAAAGTGTTGACAATAGGAACGGAAATAAATGCTTTTTAATTTGCTTCTTTAGGCAGAAAATAAATATAATTTGTGCATGTGTGATTTGGCGATCTGACCTATGTTTTCAAGGAAGACACCCGTAGCAATGTAATTAGATGTCTTTTAATATATCTACTACATAGACACTTTAAACAATTTCTTGAATGTAGAAATTGGTCGAAAATTGGTTCATGCAAGTGAATGCCAAAAAAATGAAACTAAAAGGATTAAGTTGCCAACAAACAACCTGATCTCTCCTAAAACTACGTGCGGTTGTATCATCCCTGCCAAAACATTTGCCCAAACCTCAGCATGTTTTATGCCTACAGCTGTCAAATCCAGATGACTGATACCTTTGTCTTGCCTTGCAAACACATTGAATGGTTATCCTGGTACACTGGAAGAACTCGGCGGAAGGGGGTGGGTGTATAAAGAATGTAAATCATATTGATAGACTATATTTCTCAAAACAAGAAAGGCTTACCTATAGAAATGAGTCTTAACCGTGACTATG